TTCCCTGTCATAATATCTCGTCTCACTAAGGTCCAAAGCAATAGGGGCAAGTGGCCATGGACTGAAACTTGTGAAACTGAGTCAAAATGAATTATTTCCTCCTTTTAAGGTGATGATGTCAGTTATTTGTCACAGCAATGGAAAAGCGGCAAATATATTAAAACCACAAGAACCTATCTGTTCCTTCCCCTCCTGAGGCCCCTTGTCCAATTTCTATAACCCCAGTACAGAAAGGTGATGAGTGAGAAAGTCAAGAAACTTTGCTGACCACTCTGTTCTCCTGGGCCAGTCACACTTAAAACGCAGGAGCTGGAGTTGGGAAAGTTGCCAGCAGTGCAGTTGATGTAGGTTCACCTAAGAAGCTGGAGATTTCATTATAGTTCTAACTGCACCTCTTCTTGATTGTGAGGTGATTTTCTCATCTCACACAAGCCTGACAGCTGTCTAAGAGAGTCCCCACAGAATGTGGTGTGGGAGCAGGGCTGAGAACTGTGTCCTGAGGCGGCTTCAAGGGCACTGGGCTCTGTCTGATGGATCTGACCTTGTTTCCCCAGGCTTTCTCCACTGCCAAGGGGACCTCCTGCATTCTACATCCTCCCACAGCGAACTTCAGCTTGCATGCAGTCTCAGCTCACTTACTCATTTTTATGTCCCTGGCACTGGCCTGGCCCCTCAGGAATGGGTCATATGAGCAGCTAAATGTGTTTCCATGACATCTATTTTCCTTGGGCTTCATGGTACTTTACAAGCCTCAGAAGACATTTAAACACTAAAATACAATGTGTTAGATATAAATACAACGTGTTCGATATAAGTATCTCATAAAATATGTGACTAATTAAAATAGGCAATAGAATTTCATATGAAGCAATACATGGTCGCGGTATATTGTAGTGTGTATCTCTTAAAGGTAGAGGTTTAAGGAAAATAACTGTAATGCTTTTCTTTCCACTGAACTATAATTTCTTAATATTACCAAGTACTGTTTAAACTTCCTCATCCTCGGTGTGTGTGTGTGTGTGTGTGTGCGTGTGTGCATGTGCACGCACATGTGCACATGCGTGTGTTAGATGTTATTAAGTTGTTTGTTTGGAGAAGGATCTAAATAAGGTCTATGAATAATAGGCTAATGTGACTCCATTCTTTTGGTGGTGGTAATGATGGTGGTACCGGTGGTACTGGGAATTGAACTTAAGACCTTGTATATGCTAGCTAAGTATCTCTCCGCATGAGATTACTTTTGCATTGCTTATTTCCAGGAGTTTTAAGGGTCAAAACAGGCATTTGTACTTTCATTTAGGTATAAATTATGTCATAAATTTATGATGATATTTACAATTCACATCCAGGACTAGAGGGTATCACTTGGTTACACCAATCTTCTCTCTCCCATGACAAAAATCTGGATCTCAGCCACACCTATCTTGTCATTCATTTGATTCAAATACACTGTTCCAATAGTCTAAGACTAAGAAAATCAGACACTACCAATTCCAAAGTTATGATGATTACTTGAGACGTTTTCCTTAGTTCTTTTTGTCTTTGTAAAATATATGATACCCTTAACTGACAAGTTGATTCAAATAGTTCCTCTCCATGACTTTATTCCATTGACTAGATACATATTTAAGTTTATGTTGGCATTTTAAATGTCTAGAAGGTATTTATGTTTCATAATTATACAATCTGTTTCCAGGATTCTAAATCAATGGAGCAAAGTATAGTTGAGGATTATAGCTTCTTTCATTGACTTACCTATGTATCTTCTCATTTTCCCTACAAGTAAACATTCTGTGTGTGTGTGTGTGTGTGTGTGTGTGTGTGTGTGTGATCTTTGCTTTATTATGAAACACATGTGCACAAATATCTCTATCTTTCCTTTTCTTTACTTATAGAAAATAACACACAATCCACACCTCTTCATTTTCCTCTTGTTCGTATTAGCAGCACTACGGATTGAACTCTTGAAGTCTTTGTGCTTACCAAGCCAGCACTCTACCATTTGATCCATGCCTCCAGACCCCAGCGTTTGGTAGTTTGTTTGTTTCAGGGACTCATGCTGTTTTTAGCTGATCTTTCAGGGCTGGCTTCAGAACACTATCCTCTTTCCTGCACCTCCCAGGTGGTTGGAATTACAGGCCTGTACCATTCTTCTTGGCCTTCCAGCTCACCTTTTTTTTTTTTTTTTTTTTTGGCCTAATAACATATCCTAGAAATTACCCTGCCGTGGCTCATTCTGTTTTAGAAATGCATGTGGTTGTATTAGAGTTTATTACCCTGGTCCCCTGTCAATAAGCATGTGGGTTATTTCAAGTTGACTATTTTGTCTATAATAGTGAATAGCTGTAGAGATACATATTCATGTATTTTTGTCTATCTGTCTTAGAGACAGATCTCTAGAAGTGGGCCAAACAATACATGCTATTTATTCCACTGAAGCCTCTTCTACAGGGACTGTGCTATTTTGCCTTCCCATTAGCATTGTTTAGAAAGGTCCGACTCTTCACTGCCTCTTTACAGCCAGACTTTCAGGTTTTTGCTCGTCTGGTAGTGTAAGCCTGAGTTTACATTTTTCTTACTATGAGAAACCAAGCATCATTCCTAGGTCTCATTCCTGTTTTCAGATAAATGTGTTTAAAGACATGCCTTATATATTCAGATTTAGCAATAATTTAAGGATGACATTGTGTCATCCATTTTGTATGAAGAAGAGCTGGCTGATGAGTGGATCTTTGGGAGCACTGACCACAGAGTCTGGGTAAAGGTTCCAGAAGCCCCTTGTACTTTAGGACAGTACATAGAAGGCACGTTGTGTGGTGTAAGTCTCCAGACCTCTGTGAAATCTGGGTTATCTGATTGGGAATGGGTCTAAATGAGAATGATGCTTTAATGAACACCCTGGGAGACCTTTACCGTGTATTCTAATTAGAATCTGTTCCAGCACACAATGCATTTCTCTTCATCAAGACCTTAATCAAATTAGACAATACTGCTTAGCACAAAGAAGGGCTGAAGAAATACTTTGTTGAAAATAGCCTTAGAGAAAGAACATACTCAACAGCTAGGTCTCCTCAGGGAAAACAATGACATTGAAGATTGAAGGACCAACCATGTGGCCCCAAGTTGGCTATGGAAGTTCAATACAATGAATCACTCAAGGGGAGGGATACAATGAAATAAATCCTAATAGCAGAAAATAGCTCCACAGGAACAAAACAATGTTAAAAGGGGAAAGTATGGAGGGGGGATGTGCGTGTAGCTCAGTGGGAAAACATGTACTTCACATGTGTGAGGTCCTGGGTTCCATCTCTAGCACTGACCAAAACCAAACAAAATCCGATGGAGGGGCAGTATAAGAGAAAAAAAATCCTATATACAGCTGGTGTTTCCATGATCCATCCCCACTCCCACTAAACCAGTGTTGGAGATAAAAGCCAGGAACTCATGCATCTCATACATGCTAGGCAAGCACTCAACCAGTGAACTAAATCCCCAGCCTGCTGCTTTTATAACGGAAGGATTTCCACATTTTGAGTAATGCCAAATGCCCTATATGGAGTAACAAATATGAGTTAGGGAGCTGCTAGTGGAGTATACAGATCTTAGAACAAACGCCACAAGCAGCAACTGTGACATATTTTGCCCCCTGCAAAGGTTCACAAGGAATCTTTTGTCTATTGTGTGTCACTTTCAACCTCCTAGTAGAACTTGATCCTCTAGTTACAAAGGAAGTGAAACTTCTACGAAGGCAAAGAAATCCAGCAATGGAAAAATCAATGTAACAAAGAAAGGGAAAGAGAAATCCATGCTTTTTTTTTTCTTTTGAAGAAAGTAAAAGTAAATTGTTACAATTACTACTGTCAAGCACTCTTACATTTGAGACTATTACTGATGGAAGACAACACAGATATCCATGTGTTTCTTTTCCTATCGAAACTGTCAGAAAATTCATCAACACTTGGTATAAATCGCTTAATGTAGATGCCAAAAAGTTTTTCACCGTATTTGCTTCTTACAAATGGCTGTCCTCTCTTTCCTTCCCACTTGTGATGTTTTATCAGTGAGTCACTAAAAATATTATCGAAATGGACTTATGACACACAAACGCTGCTTTCAAATAAGTCAAATAGGTTTTATATATTAAAAAAAAGACTGCCAGGGAATTTTTTTTGTCTAATTTGAAAATAGGGAGACATTTGTTTCTAAAAAGACTGGCAAGAATTCACTAGAAGGAAAAACCGTTCCTTGTATTTTATGATCAAAGCCAGCAATAGGGTGCTGAAGACTTTCCTGTTTTTGAAAATGGCAAACTTAAGAGACCATCATAAACCAACCTTCTGGTTATTTGCTTTTATGACTCAAGGCTAGAATGCAGAAGTAAGCATTTGAACAACTGAAATGTAGATCTATGTTTGTCGTTTTGTTTTTGTTTTGAGACAATCTTACTATATAGGCCAGGAACCTCTTGCCTAAGTCCCCTGAGCGCTGTAATCATAAATGAGCCATACATTCACTTTTAAAGGGCAAAATCAGAAGACATTCCAAAGAAGTGACCACAGTTGAGATTTCTCACCTATGTTGAAAAATTCCTGTGAATTCTTTGGTCATGTAGAAAACCAGTTGATAAGCAGTTTTTTTCTCTTCCATTTCCAAAATGACTTTGACCTGATAAAAATATTTCTTGCTATTTCTCTTAAGGAGTTTCCTTTCCCTGTAAATGTCATTTAAAAAATTGAAAATTTTCTGGTAAAATGCACATAACATAGAATTCACTTCTGGTTTTTGAGGGCACAGGTCAGTAGAATTAAGTACATTCTTATTGTTACCAATGAATCTGGGTCTTTATTGTCTCCTTTCCCCTCCCTAAGCTTGAGGCACTCACCATTCTATTCTCAGGGAACATGAATTTGACTGTCCTCAGCATTTTCTTCATTGAAATGATTCAGGCTTATAGGTTTTTCTTTTTATTTCACCAGGAATTTATTTCTTATGATCTATCAGCATATAGCACCAAATTTTAAAAGACAAAGGACACTGGACATTAAGAAAGAGGTCTACCCCGTCGTTGGGTCTAGTGCAGATACTTTTCTTCTTGTGTGGACTCTGCTAGAATTATTACAGAAACCAAGACAGGAGAGACTTATGTTTTTAAGGGTGGCTGATTTCCCTTAGTCTTATGTCTCCCATGTAGATATATATGGATTTCCATATATATGTGTATATATATACTTATATACATACGTTTAAATTGATGTTTATATATATGTATGTACACACATACACACACACTAGTGGTTAATTGGAGATAAGAGTCACATAGACTTTTCTACTCAGGCTAGCTTTGTACTACCATCCTCACATCTCAACCTCTTGAGTAGCTAGGATTATAGGAGTGCCCAGCTCCAGGAAATATTTGAGTTTTTACTTTACTGTTTAAAATCATAAGCTTCTATGCCACAGGTTTTTCCAAGGCACAGATCTACCAAAAGCTATGGGGACACTACCGGCATGCTGTAGCCCTGAGTGTTATCATTCTCGAGAGACCCTCACAGAACCATGTGGGGAGTCTAGCTTGAGGATTCCTTGCCTTTCCACTGCCATTTATCCACAGGGATCGCTAGCTTGGATCACTATGGAAAAGACCAGGGTAACCACATTGTTGACACTGAATTTTAATACAATCAATCCATTAATTAATTATGGATGAATTAATTCATCCATATAAGCCATGTTTATTGAGCGTGTCTTCCTCAGGCAAAACATGTCAAGTTCAAAAAAAGAACAAAGTCACAATCCCAAGTGTGGAGCAACTTAAAATCTGTTTTGTTTTTCGGCTAAATTGTTCATTGTTTTCTTTTCTTTTGTTTTAAAGAAATGAATGGCATAAGAGGTTGTTGCAGGACTCCATGGTGAACTGACAAACGAGTGACAACAATCTCACTTGTATTCCCCTGGGGAGAAGAACAAACAACATTGCACAAGAAGAGCGGGGAGAGCTAACCTCTGGCAACCCGCAACAGGTGTTCTATAATTATAGAAAGAAGACAAGATCTCAAAGGCAGAGGAGGAAGAGTGTGAGCACATGCTCCGTGTTGGGAAAGCTCATGACTTAGTTGAGAAACAAGAAGATTGGTTTATGTCAAGGAAGGGGACAGACTATAGGGGTCTTGTGAACCAACCTGTCTCAGCTGGGGAAGAGCCTGGAGTAGATGTGTCTACTTTTGAATTTAATTCTCTAAGTAATTAGGAGCTAGGGCAATCATTGAACGGGAGGAACATGATTGATGTGGCATTTCAGGAGGATTCATCGGGCAGGAGCATGCCATGGATCAGTATAGAGAAGACGGTGAAAAGCAGGGAGCAGTATGTGTTGATTGGGGTGGGGGGGGAGCTGTGGCTGCACTTTCTCTCCATTGATTTCCAAAGAGTCCAACAGCCTTTCTGAGATAACAATAGGTCCATCGGGACCCTCCCTCTTCACCCTTGGCTTGGTTTGGAGAAAGAAAACGATTGAATCTAATTTCTCCCCAAATGCAAAAGGACAGCCTATTTTATGCCTCCATCTCTCTCTTCACTCAATGTGTATAATTATTATAATCATGGAGACAGACAGAGGAGAGGACACAGAGGCTCTGCCAGAGTGTGGACCAGTTCTGAATGCTCCTGGGCTGGATGGCAGGCGGGGAGCAGCTGTGTATCTAGTACAGATTTGTACGCATCTCTCTCTCTCTCTCTCTCTCTCTCTCTCTCTCTCTCTCTCTCTCACCCTCCCTTTCTTCGGTCCCTGTCCCTCTCTGAGACAGAATTTTGCTATGTAGTCTGGGATCAAGCTTATAATTCTCTTGCCTCTGCTCCTGAGTGCTGGGATTATAGGTGAGCACCACTATGCCCAGATTCTCAAATCCCTTTGAATGGCAGGCTTATGTGTATTCTTCATACTTTAGAGAGACCAGCTCAAGAAATTTTTTGTTGTATCACTCCATCACTTTTAATACATTTAACTTCCTTTCAAGGTACAATTATATATAAAACCCCATTTTTAGAAATCATTGGATCCCTGTTTGTCTTTTTTTTAAATAAAATTTTATTTTTTAAATCTTTTTTTCTTAATATATATTTTTATTGTAAAGATATTATACAGAGGGATTACAGTTACATGAGCAAGGCAATGAGTCCATTTCCTATAGAGCATTGTTACCCCCTCCTTTATTTTTCTGTTCCCAGTGAAGATTGGTCCTCCTCCTGAGATGCAGGAAGGACTTACAGAGCATCTTGGAGCATCCTTTGGCCCAACTCTACCTGCAGCATCCTCAGCTCAGCTGGGAGAGGCCTCTGCAGGTATCTGACTGCTACTAACTTTTCAAATGCTGTGGTATCCCAGACACGATTTCACCTCATTTCCCAGGCTTCCATTTACTTTAAACGCAGTCTGGAATCAGTAACAAACAACAGCCCCAGGAAGAGGCAACAGAAATGGCCTCTCAAAACCTGGTCTAAAGCACGAGTTCATCACTGATAGCATGGTTCTTCAAGTCCTCACTGGGAACAGATTTATCTTGCTTTTAGACACAATTCTTTGTGTGTGTGTGTGCCAGTCCTGGGGCTTGAACTCAGGGCCTGGGAACTGTCCCTAAGCTTTTTTATTCAAGGATAGCACTCTTACCACTTGAGCCACAGTTTCATTTCTGTCTTTTTTGTTTTTGGTGGTGGTGGTGAATTGGAGATAAAAGACTTTCCTGCCTAGACTGGCTTTGAGCTTCAATCCTCAGCTATCAGCCTCATGAGTAGTTAGGATTACAGGTGTAAGCTACTGGCACCTGGGAAGACCCAGGTGCATTACCTTTTCTTATATACCTATTCACATATACTTATTTCTTTCTGTCTCACGACTTGCACAATTCTTTTTTTGGGGGTGGGGGGTCTGGTCGTGAGGCCTGAACTCTGGGCCTGGGCACTGTCCCTCAGCTCTTTAGCTCAAGGCTACCGCTCTACCACTTGAGCCACAGCGCCACTTCTGGCTTTTTTCTTTTTGCTTATGTGGTACTGAGGAATGGAACCCAGGGCCTCATGCATGCAAGGCAAGCGCTCTACCACTGAGCCACCTTCCCAGCCCTTGCACAATTCTTATATACCTATTTCTGTTATACAGCTCTCATTCATTCAGCCTGAATTTGGGAAGGTCAGAAGGCATGGCCACTGGACACTGGCCATAAGAGCAGTGGGAAGGAGAGTTCGAGGCAGAAGTGGTGACCAGACAATTCTTCCCCAAAGTTCCAGCTTTTCTTTCAGATGCAAAGAATAGTCAGGTACCTTTGGGGGTTAACTGGAAAAAACATTAGAGAAATTTAAGCAACAAAGAGCAGGGAGGAAATCTAAGTATCTCCAGTTAAGCTCCTCTCAAGTTTCAGAACCGCGCAGATCCGCCGGCAGGTGGCTTAGCCTGTATAATCCAGGGTTAAGCCAGCAGGATTAGCACGTGCTAGTGTTCTGTGCAACCGTGGCGGTCCTGGGAATGAAGGGCTGCAGACAAACAGCAGTGGGACAGGAAGAGTGGACAAAGAGAGAGAGATAAAAAGTGATCACCTACTCCCTAGCGATGATGTGCATGGAATTCACCCGCGCACCCACTCAGTGAACAGTTTAGATCATGTAGAATATTCTAGAATTGTACGAGGTTCTAAGAACAAAGGGCAAACCTATTTCCTGGCACTCTGCAGTTACAGGTCTCACGTCCTGGCATCTACCTCACCACTCAGCACAGTCTAAGGTTACTTCATTATTTCTTTTTCTTTTCTTCTCTCTTTCTTTTTCTGGCAGTACTGGGGTTTGAACTTAGGACCTCATGCTGACTAGACAGCTGCTGTATGAGGTGAGCCATGTTCCCAACACTTTTTTTTGCTTTTTTTAAGTTAATTGTCAGATTAGAATCTTGTGATTTTGTCCAGGCTAGCCTTGGACTGCCATCCCTTCTAATCCTTATCCCCATATAATAACTTGGATTATAGATACGTACCACCCATACTTTGTTTATTGGTTGAGACAGGGGTTCTTGCTAACTTTTTACCCAGGCTGGCTTTGAACCATGATCCTTGTGATCTCTATCTCCTGATAAACTGGAATTATAGGTGTGTACAACCACACCTGGTTCACTACATCTTAATGATTCCTAATGAAAAGGTCCTGGTGCATGTCTGCCTGGGCGATTTCTAGTTGCCTATAACATCATGTAGTACACAGGGAAAGTAATTGATTGCTTTTTCTTCTAGTTAGCTATAACATAACTAGCATCTCCATCTTCTTACCACACTAAGTTTTGCTTCTATGACTGTTGTCTCCATAATCAAAACCATCATGTAATATTCCCATCTATCATCTCTCTAGAGTGTCTCTCACGATTGTGGGTCCCCTCTGAAGCCTTGCTTATAACAGGCACTCAATAAATCGCTTTGAAGGAATGACCAAAGAAATTGTTCATAAAGGTCACCCATACGAATCAATTTCAAGACATCAGGAAACAGCAGCCAGAAAGAGAACACGTCAAGATCTTGAACCTTAGTTGTTTTTCTCCTCCAGCTATGTTTTGTTTCTTGCATGCAAATGGAAGGGTTGGTTATGAAAATTTCATAGGAACCAGACCTGACAGGAAAACAGGGACGTGTCTCACTCTGGAAACACGAGCAGCATACAAGAGGGAAACCCCAAAGCCACACAACAGCTTGCTTTATACCTTGAATTCCAGAGAACAAATGCTATCCCAGGGGTGGTATGTTTATAGGTCTCTTAAATGCAGACTGGACCTGTTGGAGCAGTTGGAATGGAAAAAAAAATCAAATGTTCAACCTCGTTTCCTACCTCTGCTGATAGCAGACATGGAGTAGTTACCCCAAGAGATGATCCTATGGATAAAGCAATCCCAATGGAAAGAAAGGAAGGAGGGCTTCTGACCACAGGATGGTGGGGTGCAGAGGACCCGCAATGGGTCACAATATTCAGCTTTCTCCCCAGGAAGAGAAACACCATTGTGACAACAGCATTGAAAACAAGCAGTAAACGTGTGGCCTCATAAAAATCCTTGCCTGAATTCTCGGCCCTCTATAAACGAGACAATGCATGTACACTAGCACCTGGCATCATTTATCATCACCTGCCATAAATCCTCCTTTGCCTCCATTAAAGAGGA